GGTTTTCACAAAATTCGTGCCCAATTAACATTACCAGTAAACGCTTAATTCCGTAACATAACTCTTACCCTACACGTTAATATAGAAAATTGGAAACCAAACTTACAAAACACTCATCCACTCAACCAATAAACCAAATCAGATTCGTCGGCGCTCTGTTGTCTGTACCTCAACTTCAAATTGAAGTAATCAACAACAAAAGCTACCATTTTGTGAGCACACTCCCTGAGTTGTTCTATGTTCTTTGGCTTCAAACCACTTCCCTATACAATTCAACGAAATCCAGATACATTATACTTAATTGCATTTTCTTTATTATATTATTTAAATATATGATGCGTAGCTCGAAAAATATGATTTTTAGTCCGTTGACCTATGTTGTTGATAATATTGTTTGTTAAATTCGAATTTTTTATTTGGAAGTTGGGATTGTGACGTAGCGGAAGATTATAGGAAAGATGAATAACCTCACAAAGATGAGATAAAAAAAATAAAAAAATGATATTTTTCCATAAATGGAAAAATTCGAGATTTTAACTTAAATGGAAACTCCTAATATTCAGGATCGTCCTCCAACAAACGGAATCCAAATCCGAATTTTATTGAATGAGATATTACTTAAANACTTAAATGGAAACTCCTAATATTCAGGGTCGTCCTCCAACAAACGGAATCAAAATCTGAATTTTATTGAATGAGATATTACCAAAATAAAAAATACCATAAAAGGCAAAAACACTTAATTGAGAGTCTAAACGATAGAATCTGCCCGAAATTTGTCGTACGTCATGACCGAAGGCGATGAGTTGTGATCCTTGACTCGTTTCCAATCAAATTAGACTATTAATTCGCCAAAAAGGACAAATTTGAAGTTATCATAAAATCATTATTTTATCTTATGATCCTACTTTATCATAAATTCTAACTCCTTATGCACTTCATCAGATTGTTTGCATTTTCGTTTGGAATATTGTTTATTAAATTGACTTAATATTATGTTTTTGTTTTTAATGATTTTTCTTCATAATTTTTTTCTTTTCAATTGACGATTAGAATTTGAACTTATAAAAAATAATTTATTTTCGCGGTGATTAACCGAATCGAACGAAACAGAACCAATATACGAACCGAGCCGAGTCGAACCGATTTGATTTGGTGCGGTCATGATTTACGCCCAAACCTTTGCCATCCCTAAGGCTGTACTTGCACGCATTTGTGTTCTCCTAGCAGGCACAAATTCAATGGATTCCAATGGAGACATGTTTGACTCTGCGGTTAATCTAGAACAAACCCACTACAAAGAAGGTCACGAAGAAGGCTATGCAAACGGGTTAGTGTCGGGTAAAGAAGAAGGACGCCAGGTGGGTCTAAAAACTGGGTTCGAAGTGGGCGAGGAATTGGGTTTTTATAGAGGCTGCATCGGCATCTGGAACTCCGCTATCCGGGTCGATCCGAATCATTTCTCGGTCCGGGTCCAGAAATCCATAAGCCAGATGAATGAATTGCTCAAGAAGTATCCAATATCCGAACCGGAAAATGAGTCCGTATCAGATATTATGGACTCCTTAAGACTCAAATTTAGGGCGATTTGTGCCACGCTGAATGTGAAATTGGAGTATAATGGGTATCCTAAAGCCTCTGATGTTGAAAATATCGAATTTTGAAATTTTGGTATGTGAATTATGTAAATAAAGTTTGAAGTTTTGCTTAATTGATGATTGTCCTTGCTTTATTATTAGGGTTTTCATATTTTGATGATATATACACTGTATCAATCTTATATGTGTGTGGAGGCTTTAAATTTATTTGGATTAAGACTTGGTTTGTTGGTGAAACTGTATTAGTGGGCTTGTCTGTGAACGTATAATCAATCTTATAATAACTCAGATTTTGCTGTTAATTGAATGGACTGTGATTATCAAGTAGTACGTATGGGAATGCAAGTAGAAAAGGTTGAATAATTTGCGGCACATAAAGAGATATATTGTGAACGTTTTGGCTATCTTACAAGTGAAAATGATGCATCTTGATCGAAAAGCAATTGAAAATCTCCCCTTTGTTCATTTTTATTGTAATAATATGAACTTCAGTTTTTATTTTGTCTGTTTATATTTTCTTCAAACCTTCTCCTCTTATTAATGATTACTTCTCCATGATAGGCATACTTGATATTCCTCTTTCTCCCCTTAGGAAACTTAATACTTCCTTTTTTACTTGTTTACACTGGTCTGTACTGTATTTCCATTGACT